GACTCCCCTTGGCCTGACCACAGACGCCCCCTTCTGGGAATCCTCCGATTCACTTGAAAGACTCATGGAATCCCTCAAGTCATTGTCATCCTCTTCCTCGCTGTCCTGGGATTCTTCCCCCTCGCTCTCCGTCTCCTCCCTCACCTGTGCCTCTGTCCCTGAACCCCTGACATTAAGGCAGTCCTGGCAGAGTCTCCTTCATTTCTTCTTCTTCTTAGGAAGCTCGGACGAAAGAAACAACATGGCTTTTCTAGGCAGACTTACCTAGTTCTGAGCTTGTACAACTTGCTCTAATTGTACAACACCCTACATAGATCTACTTTGTTATACAGTGGAACCTCGGATTAAGTACCGTATTTTTCGCACGATTGGATGCACCGGACCATAGGACGCACCTAGTTTTTTTGGGGGGAAATAAAGGAAAAAATTTTCCCCTTTATTTCCCCCCCAAAAGCAGGTCAGGGAAACCGAACCAGGTCGAGGAACAGCGGGATAGTGGCGCTGCGCCTCCCTGCTGTCCCCCAAGCTTGTGGGGCTGGCCGATGTCTGTCCGGCGGGCGGGGAGCTCTGCTTCAGGGCGCCCCACCCGCCAGGCAGCAGGCTGCTATCCGCAGCGTGGGGAGCCCTGTGGGGAACTCCTGCAAGCCTCCCCACTCTGCGGATGTCTGCCTGGCGCGAGGGGCGCTCTGCTTCAGGGCGCCCCACCCGCCAGGCAGCAGGCTGCTATCCACAGCGTGGGGAGCCCTGTGGGGAACTCCTGCAAGGCTCCCCACGCTGCGGATGTCTGCCTGGCGCGAGGGGCGCTCTGCTTCAGGGCGCCCCACCCGCCAGGCAGCAGGCTGCTATCCGCAGCGTGGGGAGCCCTGTGGGGAACTCCTGCAAGCCTCCCCACTCTGCGGATGTCTGCCTGGCGCGAGGGGCGCTCTGCTTCAGGGCGCCCCACCCGCCAGGCAGCAGGCTGCTATCCGCAGCGTGGGGAGCCTTGTCGGGAACTCCTGCAAGCCTCCCCACTCTGCGGATGTCTGCCTGGCGCGAGGGGCGCTCTGCTTCAGGGCGCCCCACCCGCCAGGCAGCAGGCTGCTATCCGCAGCGTGGGGAGCCCTGTGGGGAATTCCTGCAAGGCTCCCCATGCTGCGGATGTGTTCCCGAAGCGCCTGGAGCTCTGCTTTCAGGGCGCCCGGCGCTCCGGGAAGCAGGCTGAGCGGAGCGCTAATCCCGAAGCCCCAAGCTTCGGGATTAGCGCGGCTCTTCGCTAGCCCTGGGAGAGCCACGCAACGTCGCGGGGCTCTCCCAGGGCTAGCGAGACCTTGCCGGCACCCAGAAGCTTGGGGCGCGCTGAGCTCCGCGCGCCCCAAGCTTCGGGATTAGCGCGGCGCTTCGCTAGCCCTGGGAGAGCCACGCAACGTCGCGGGGCTCTCCCAGGGCTAGCGAGACCTTGCCGGCACCCAGAAGCTTGGGGCGCGCTGAGCTCCGCGCGCCCCAAGCTTCGGGATTAGCGCGGCGCTTCGCTAGCCGCGGCTAGCGGATAGCTTCCTGAAGCCTGGAGAGCGAGAGGGGTCGGTGCGCACCGACCCCTCTCACTCTCCAGGCTTCAGCGAAAGCCTGCATTCGCTCCATAGGACGCACACACATTTTCCCTTGCTTTTTAGGAGGGAAAAAGTGCGTCCTATGGTGCGAAAAATACGGTACTTAATTTGTTCTGGAGGTCTGTTCTTAACCTGAAACTGTTCTTAACCTGAAGCACCACTTTAGCTAATGGGGCCTCCTGCTGCCACCACGCCGCCGGAGCACGATTTCTGTTCTCCTCCGGAAGCAAAGTTCTTAACCTGAAGCACTATTTCTGGGTTAGTGGAGTCTGTAACCTGAAGCGTATGTAACCTGAAGCGTATGTGACCCGAGGTACTGCTGTACTTTAATCACCACTGCTTCTTTTTGCACCTCTTTTGAAATGTGTTCTTTTTCCTCCCTCACCAAAAATAAAATAAAACTAGATGGAAGAAAGTTTGTTACGTGTTTGTCTCTGTGGTGTCATAGAACTGTGTGCACTTTTATAGTATAGGTACAATTTTTTTAAATCAGATTTCCCCCTTCCCTCCTCTTCTGGCTTTATATAAAATATCTGAAACCTGACTACATTTTTCGTCCCTTTTTCTGCGATAGCTTTCACTTCGTCACCTTGCTTCATAAAATAAGTGCCCCCAAAACAAAGCAACTGCTCCTTTTTGAGATATTTCCAAATCAAAGTCCTGAACCATATATGTCTTTTATCACCTGATGATGATGATAAAGTCCTACCTTGGTTTTCGAACAGCTTAGTTCTCGAACGTTTTGGCTCTCAAATGTCACAAACCCGGAAGTGACTGTTTCGGTTTGTGAACTATTTTTGGAAGCTGAATGTCCGACGGGGCTTCCGCATCTTCCTATTGGCTGCAGGAGCTTCCTGCAGCCAATCAGAAGCCGTGCTTTGGTTTCTGAATTTTTGGGAAGTCGAGCGGACTTCTGGAACGGATTCCGTTCGACTTCCAAGGTATGACTGTACTTGACATTTCTGTATCACTTTGACCAAAGTACTTCAAATATGTCACCTCGGGAATCCTTACAATTGCCCGTTAATACAGTCATTATTATTGGCTCAGTATTGGCCCTGAGCAGGCATGGAAAACCTGTGGCTTTCCTGATGATGTTGGACACCGGTTGCTGTCTGCCCTATTGCCAGTGGTCAGAGAAGATGATAGTTGCCGTCCAATAACATCTGGAGGGCCACAGGTTCCTCATCCCTTCTTGGAGGTTGCTTGTCAAGGGTGGCTGTGGTGTGCTTTGTGCTGGAGACATCTTGCCTCGCACCCCATGCTCCTAATCACTACTCTGCAAAACTCTACAAAAGCTCTCGGTGCCTGAAGCGACACTGGATTTGGCTTCCCATAATTTTATGTTTGGGAACAGCCTCTATAAATACAAATATATTGTTGTGATTCTAGTCTTTTCTCTTGGCAGTGTAAAAAGTTGTTGAATTATCAGCACTTGCGTCTGCTTTTTTAAAAGTAACAATCCTACTGAATCTTTAGGGTGTACAGTTGCAGAGCATATCACAAGGCATTCCTTATTATTACTGGAAACACACACAAGCTGGAAGATGTACAACTTGTTAACGCTAATTCTGTACATATTTTTTATATATAGCAATCCCATTCTTTAGACCTTACAGCTTCTGATTTGAAAACCTGGGAAAGTAATGTTTAATTAGGAGATCTTTGTTTGACATCAGATAACCAAAAATATTGACTGACTTGGAAATTAACACATGCAGAGATACAGATGCCATTTAGCATGAGATTTCTCAAGTGATATAATTATTAATACTTCTGATAGTTATTATGAGATAAACCGGCATATTCATTCCTCATAATTAGCCTATGGGGGCAATGCACCACTTCTACCACTAGACTGTCATGTTGCCTATAACTTGAGAATAAATATGGTAGAAGTTTCTAAACAAAGGGGAAAAAATGCTTGAAGGGCATCTGGTTTACTTCTGGGCGAAGAACAGTGATTTAAAACAGAGCAGTTAGATCAAAAGGCAAAATATACCTTCAAACGGGTAATCGCTCATTGTACTATTAATGTAAGTAGCCAGATTGTAGGAAATGATGTTCATTTTCAACATGTTTAGGTTTTGTCTAGATGGCACCTTCCCACACAGTTGATTTATGGTTTAGTGCTAAACCAGAAATGGAGGTGGGGTGGGGGGCTGGTGGGGGCTGAGTGAGACGAAGGGAGTGTTGCAGAAAAAAGGTACCAATGTAAACTTAAATTCCTTGTAATATTATCATTTGAACTATGCCACCCAGTCTTTCTTTCCCAGTCTCTCTTCTGGCATTTGAGCTATCAGGAATCAGTCACATTTGGTACGTGCACACAATTGTAAGCAATTTCTTTCTATTATAATAGAGGAATATTGGCTTTCTAAGGCCCAGTCTTAATTACTAATCCACCTTAAAAATGCTTGTGTTGGAATGTGTAAAAAGGTATACTGCCAGCAAAATCCCACCGAGTTGGGATGGGACCTAGTTGATATAATAGAACTGTAGCCATTGTAGAGGGATAACATAGCTGCAAATGCTTAGGGCAAGCTTTAGGAAAGTACTAAAGCTCAGTCCTTCGCATTGACAGCCATGTTACCCCTCTACAATGGCCGTATAATATAAGGCTATTTTGCAGTTTTTGCAGTTTGTTTTCACTGGTCAAACAATATAATAAGCAACCTATTTTCTGTATCAAAGCTTGTCCTTACTTCCTGGTCATTTTAAAAGTGAGTTTCCTGAAGATGCAAACAGGTAGAAATCTGTTGCAGCATGAGTTTACGCTATAACCATGTCCTGGTCTAGGGCAGAAGCATTTTCAGAGCCAATTCATAACTTGTTTCTTCGCAATGATTCTGCAGTTGAACCGCATGCAAGATAAGCATGGCATAACTCTAGCATACAAAGGTGGCAGCGCTATCATTGACTGCTCTATGTGCCAGCAGTCTCATAGGCAAACAGTAGGGGCCCAGGGTGAAGCCTAGTGTAAATTTGTTCCACTCTCCATGAAAGCTCTTGCTTTTGGTCATCTTCAAAAATCACTTACCTGCTGAAATTTCTGCAAAGGCTTTCCTCTGATATGAGTTGCCATTGCATTATACTGTGAGCTGGTTTGGAGGAAAGTTTGACAAATGTTTTGTTTTGTTTTTTTCAGCTAAAATATCCCAAAGGGAATTTATCTCCATAACATGTTATGGGGGGGGGAGTGCTTATAAACAACTTTACTTGGAAGTATGTCTCACAAATTTCAGAGAAGCTTTCTTCCAAGAAAGGATGATAAAAATTGCAGCCTGAAAGCATCTTGAAGTCTGACATTCTGCAATAGACTTCGAATGCAGTGCAAATGTTGTTCTGATAAAATGCAATGTTCTCTATAAATAAACAATCCAAAAGTCAAGGTGCACTTTGTTTTACTTCAAGGGAACATGATAAGGATCCCGAAAGTTTCTTTCAAGTGCTGCTGAAAATGAAAGAGATGGGCCTCAGTTTTCATGTTTCTGTCCTTGGAGAGACCTTCACCGATGTTCCAGGTATTTATTTATTTTTCAATCTCTACATTTATAGATATCACAACAGGCAATTCTGTAATTTTCTTTCCTGAAAGTGAGCAGTTGGGTAAAAGTGAGAACTTGCAGCACAGTGGTAAATTAAATATGTATGTATATAAAAGTTAGCAGCAATTGTTTTTTGTTAAGAGCTGCTAGCAAATGCATCCTCTATGCTGCTTTAACTGTGAGGAAATGCCAGTGATCTCAATGGGACTTACCGTATTTTTCCGTGTATAACACGACCCCATGTATAAGATGACCCCTATTTTTGGGAGCCCTCAACAATTGTTGAACTTCTTTTGTAAGTTCGCTGAGCTGTTGAGCAGCTTTTCGACGATCCCCCGCTCTGGCTGACAGAACTGGTGCCGTAATACACCACATACGCACCAAGTATTCTTCCTAAACTGGGAGGAGCGGGTAAGTAGCCTCCTCTCCGACATTTCCCTGCTACCGCCGCAGCACCAGCCTTCGCTTACTTAGCATATTAACCTGTGTATAAGACGACCCTCAATTTATCACAAAAAGATCAGAAAAAGGTTGTCTTATACATGGAAAAATACGGTACTTCTGAGTACATATAAAATTTGTTCCATACATGCAAATGAGTCATGGTTCTGGAGCCTCAGTATAGTCATTATGAGGTGCTTTTGCATACATAGACAAATTTTATAGCCAACCTATGGTGCTCATCAGCCATCCTGATAAAGACTGGGATCTTTCTCTTTTGATCTCTTTCACTTGCTATGTAATTTGTGCCTCTGCCCTGCCTTTAGCTCTGGGGGGGGGGCAGTTGTGTGTCGTGTTTTTGTTTTTTTTTTAACAACAGATGTACATGTACCAAAGAGATACCAGGAAGAGTGATTCCATTTCAATCTGATGTAGCAGAAAAGTGGTTCAGAACATGGATCTAGACAGCAACCTAAATAGTAAAACTTTCTATGTGGTCATTCTCCACATGTTTACAGTGGTACCTCTGGTTACGAACTTAATTCGTTCCGGAGGTCCGTTCTTAACCTTAAACTGTTCTTAACGTGAGGTACCACTTTAGCTAATGGAGCCTCCCGCTGCTGCTGCTGCGACACCAGCACATGATTTCTGTTCTCATCCTGAGGTAAAGTTCTTAACCCAAGGTACTACATCCAGGTTAGTGGAGTCTGTAACCCAAAATGTTTGTAACCCAAGGTGTTTATAACCCGAGGTACCACTGTATTTTATAGAATTAGTCATCTACACAAAAAAGGGCAAGTAACACACATTGGGCGGCAGGGGGCGGATCCAAGTAAATAAACCTAGAAATGTTAGAACAACCATAGCAGCTGTCTTTGGAGATCAAAAACTTTTTTTAAAAAAACGTGTTGTGTATCTGTTTTTAGGTACTACAGTTATACCTTGGAAGTCGAACGGAATCCATTCCGGAAGTTCGTTTGACTTCGTTTGAAAACCAAATTGTGGCTTCTGATTGGCTGCAAGAAGCTTCTGCAGCCAATTGGAAGCCCTGTCGGACTTTCGACTTCCAAAAATAGTTTGCAAACCAGAACAGTTACTTCCGGGTTTGCAACATTCAGAAGCCAAAACGTTTGGAAACTAAGCTGTTCGAAAACCATGGTACGACTGTAGTTTCTCCAAAATTGGTGAGTCACCTAGAAAACTCTAGGTGTAGAGGAGCTATATAAATAAATAACAGAACAATGTTGTTGTTGTTTAGTCGTTTAGTCGTGTCCGACTCTTCGTGACCCCATGGACCAGAGCACGCCAGGCACCTCTGTCCTCCACTACCTCCCGCAGTTTGGTCAAACTCATGCTGGTAACCTCGAAAACACTATCCAACCATCTCGTCCTCTGTCGCCCCCTTCTCCTTGTGCCCTCCATCTTTCCCAGCATCAGTGTCTTCTCCAGGGAGTCTTCTCATGAGGTGGCCAAAGTACTGGCCACAGAACAAAGTACTGGCCACAAAGTACTGGCCACAGAACAATCCAACCCCCTTATTTCCTTATCCTGGACAGAGGTTGCACAGGGTGGATGTGTCTGTCCTCTGGCTTCCACTGGTTTGGGAGCTCCATAGATAAGAAGTGCCCCAGTGCACCCACCCAAATGATAGGAAGGTGGTGGTAGCTAGTGGAAACTTCCAAAATGGGGCATTTTGGGGGTGGGGTGGATCTATACAGGATCCAATGGATCCTAAGTCATCCCTGCCACCATTACATGGTGACAACAGGTCTTTTCACTGCACCAGCCTGAAAACTGACACAGCAAAGGGGCATTTTTAACCTGGCCCTCAGCTTTTTATCCACTCTGGTGCAAGCAGTGAGACTGTGCATGTGGACTCCATCAAGCCCTGTCGCTGCTTTCCACAGGTTAGGATAAGTAAATAAAATGTGAAAGACTCGGGCCCCAGTTCACATAAATTTTAAAGAGCCGAGTGGCTAAGTCCATACACCTGTGCTGTTCAGCTGAGAACCTTATTGCATGAATTTTGTTCTTGGGTGATCATACAAGTACAAAAAAGTATTGTATGAAGTGATCCTACATAGCCTAGGGATCTCAGTGCATCCGTTTGAATTTTGCCATATATAGATATCACTGTAACCAGTTTTTCTCTTTAACAAGACCACAATTAGTAGAGTTGTTAAAGCACCGGTGGTCTGTTGCCCGTAGCTGGTCAGAATGGTGGGAGACTTTCTTGGCTTTGTGGCAAAACAAACAAACAACCTAGGCTCAAGTATTATAAATACGTGAGATAGTAAAGTAAAAGATTACTGCTTTCTTGAAAGTCTATCCCAACTTTTAAACCGCAAGTAAGAGCCTGTTATATTTACAATATCATTAAATTAGTCCAGTTTAATGTTCTAACTATTTGTTTATTGCAGCAAGGGACTTGTAACATATTAATCTGCTTAGTGAAAAATGCATCTGTGTAGCCACGGAGTTCTCTAGGTGCTCATAAGTGAGAATACTATGCCCAGTTTTGATTAGAAGATTCCTGCAGATTTCAGAAGACGCCAATGCCTCAATCTGGCCCATAG